TGTTTACTTTTGCAGAGGGAAAACATATGTCTTCGGCTCTATTTTTCCTGGACGCATGTGGTGTTGGATTACACTACAATGACACCATGTGGAAACATGCCCATATGAAACGTTTTAAAATGTCCAATTGTCCATTTTCAGGCCTCTCTTCAGAACTGTTCTCTGTCGAGCCGGATTTCATTGAAGATGACTCGCAGTTCACTGCAGAAATATGGACAAAGTCAGAACTGGACCGGGAGAAACACCCAGAAGGCATCATCCTGCAGATACTAGCCATAGACCAGGGTGTGACGCCCAAGACCAGCACTGCAACAGTCAAAATCACGCTGGAGGATTTGAACGACAACCCTCCAGAACTGCACCTTCCTGAAGAGGCTGTAATCGTCTCACAGGTTAGTACATGTACATGTACATGGGATGGATGCTTCTACAAGTGTTGCCATTTTGTCAGATATTACTCTATTACACCAGCACGGATGGTAAATGTTTGTTCACAAATTTAGTAATAATGATCATCCCATAAAATCTTTTTTTAAGTCTTTTTTATGTCTTTTGATCTTTTCAGTCCTCAGAAGTCGGGACATTGGTAGTTGAAGTGAATGCAACAGATCCTGATGAAGTGGGACAACTGAACTACCAGATAAGTCAAATAGTAACCCTACCAGATAACTCTATTGATACCGGTACCCTGGTTTTAAATCCGAGTTCAGGAGAGATAATTCTACAGACAGAAATGCAAGAGTCGATTGAGGACATCATAAAGGTCGTTATTGTAGAAGTGCAAGATTGGGACCCAGAGAGTCAAGATCGGCTGGGGACAGAAAGAAAATCTGGATCCCTCACAATCAAGTTTAGGTATGACAACCCAAACAAACACGCTCCCGTGTTTAACGAAGCCCGCTACGAAATGACGCTAGCTGACTTTCCACCTGTTGGTACACATTTTACAAATCTCAACATCTCTGCTTGTGACATGGACTGCCCTGAGTCCTGCAATGAGAGCCCAAGTCAAGTTACAAACTGCAGTTAAGGAGGGAACGTATCGTCTACAGCATCACGGAAAACGTGAGGGACATCTTTTCCATCGATTGAAAAGACAGGCGTCATCAGCACAGAGTATCTCTTCGACAAAACAAACTACACCCTGGTCATCGCTGCCACTGACCAGGCTGATATCCCTCGCTCGGGGACGGCAACGGTCCAGGTGTTTGTTGCACAGAGCACCACTCAAACTCCACCACTGACTACCCAAGGGCCATGTACTGACGGTGTTGCACAGGCACAGAACGAACTACTCACCTACGTACTGTACGGAGTCGGGGCTGCGGCCGGTTTGCTTGTCCTGATCACCGGTTGCGTCACCGGCAAGCTCGTCACCAGTCTCCGGCGCATGAAGACCATGTCCACCGCCCACCTCACAACCCCTGCTTTCAGGCACCCGGGAGCGTACGAGTATCTCTCGGCTAAGACGGACTACGCGTACGCAGAAGGGACGGGGGAAGAAGACGACAGCCTGCCACCTGTGCTTCCACCGTCCCACACTCGGCCCTCTCTGGAACTCCAGAAGACCCTCTGGAACAAACTACAAGTATCCCCAGGTTGTCTCGGGCGGGGATCGGATACTACTCACCCCCGATGGAGATGACTTCACTCCCCGGCTCTTCCAGAGGTATGTACCGTGTTGCTGGGTTTTAAGTTTTTTTTCTTAATATGTATTTGTTTATCTATTGGACTTAACAGATTCAAAAACACGACATCTGTAAGGAGCTGGCAACAGAAACTTTCTGGTTCCACTAAACAACCCAAAGTCAGTGTAAAATGCACTAGTTGCGTGTTAACCTGAGAGTCACAAAAACGTACAACAGAATATGATTACATACGTAAACAATTTCATCATATTGGTGAATGATTGAATAGTAAAGTTCTTTTTATTGACAACCATTTGCATATTTACGAGCTGTTGTTTCGATGACCATCTGTCATCTTCATTCTGTCAGCTGCTATAATCACCAGCCCAGACGAGGACGACAGACACTCATCCTAACGTCAGCTCTTGTTAAACAAATGGTTGTGAATAAAAAGAACTTCACTATTCAGAATATGATTACTTGGTATTTATTTCCACCATGTTCTCCAGGGTCCAGGGAACTGCTGAGGAGAAATGATGGAGACGACCTCAGCATCAGGGATGGGGGATATCTGGACATTGCATCATCCAGAGATGATGGATATCTAGATATGGCCTCATCTGGGGATGACGGATATACAGATACAAGGGCCGCTAGGGATGGGGGATATCTAGATATGGCTTCATCTAGAGATGGAGAATATCTGGATATGGCTTCATCAAGGGATGACGGATATCTGAATATGGCGTCATCTACACCAGACTACGTCAACCAACATCACGACCCTTACTTGAAACCCCAGGACGACACCTCTCGTGAAATAAGGTGGGTTGAATCTTAGGACCTGCAAAGTACAAATCTACACTAGCAACGACTTTCATACATTTTGTAGATGAACCGATGCACAAGCCGGTGTGTTACGCTAAGGGCGGTAATACCGGCTATACTAATACAGATACAGATGCTCCACATACAAGGTTAAGCGCCACCTTTGTGACCGATTTGTGTGAGCAAAAAACTATTGAACTTTCTCTGTATGTCTGTGAAGATTGGTGGCCTTGGGTATGATTTGTACAGCCTAGTTGTTATGTTGTTAAATTGAAAACTATATAAGGCATTCATGAACTTCCATGGGCTCCATACTAATTCACAATTTTTTGCAACTGCAACAGAGCATTAGACAACTAATGCAACAGCAATTTAAAACTGGTGTTTACCTCACTCACAGGTATGGATACATACCACTAAACACAAGGGACAGCAGTGAGCAGCTTCCATACAGCGATGACTACAGCAGCCACAACAGGCAAGGTGATGCACAGTATGGATATCAAAGCCTCCAGTCCAGGACACCAGTGGATAACAGTGGTGAGCACGACAGGCCAGACTATGTAAGGTCTGGGCGCAGAAGTCACCAGTCCATGGACCCAGTGATGAGCAACAGTCGCCGGCAGCAAGACTTGAACAACCGACGTGCTTCTCGGGTCACGGACCGCAGAGGCCGTCACTCCCACCAGGAGTCTTCAAGACCACAAGACCAGGACCAAAGTGCCGGCAAACCCTGGCAGTATGTCGACATTCACGCACTACAGAACAGGAAAAGCAGCCAACCACATCACCGAATCCACGGAGGGACAAGAGACGAAGAACGTTCTCGGGGAGTCAACCAAACACCCGGACGCTTCTCTCACAACCAGTTGCAGGAAGGAGAAGTGGACCTTTGGGGACAGTTTAGTTAAGGATGAAATGGAGATTTGGTACCGACCACTGTCAACTAATGCCAGCTTTATCTCTTTTAAAAGGACTGGGAATCATGTAATGGTTCAAGAATTTACATGTTATGGGTACCAGAACTCAATGAACGAACTGATGCACAAACATCATCATCAAAACTCACCAGAAAGTTGTTAGATCACATGATTGCCAGCTATAGTACTATTCTAGAATCTCTGTAAGGAGTGAATAACATTTTAAACAAGAATGTGGTTAAGCAATCCAACATTTATTTCCTACTTGGCAAAATTTGTCAGTACGATTAATCATTAAGATCCTTGATAGTGCAATGTGTCATAACTGCAACTGTGTCTTGTGGCTGAGAGCAGTTGTTGCCATTAAGTCATGTTGCCATGAAGCTAGGAATCTGGCACATCAGATTCCATGTCTAATACCTCAGAACATGTCCATCCACCAGTAGAGCTGTAGATGGTAGAAAACAGGGTTAGTTCTGTGTTTTAGCATCTCAGGCAAGTTTGACCACTAGACCAAATTTACCTACTGACCAATGCTATTCACTCATTCTTTTGTATATTAGTGTAATACAAGCTGAAGCTCAGGAATATTCTGTTTCTATATTAGTCAATTTAAGTATAATTGAAGGGAGCACACTGTCACATCAGCTTTTTACAGACTCATTTGAGGTACTAAAATTATAGCTTAAGTCAAAAGCATACATGTACAATCTCCTAAGTGTCCAAAACCCTATTCACTTTTGTAAAGTCTTAATTACAATTTCCAGCTCACCTCTGCAAGGTCACACCTTTCCAGCCGGACCACCAACCCACCTGGTATCTGGTGCATTGACTTCATACATTTCAGTCAACCATCTAAAGAAAAAATAAAGCAACCATCAACACTTGCAGGATGAGTAATCTACAAGCAGATTTCTTAGAGGAAGGGGATGATCAAATTGGCCACCCGAGCTACCTCATAGGTTACAGGTGGCCAATATAGACTGCCCTTGCTCCCGAGAATCTGCTTGAAGATTATATGATGAGGTCATACTTAATGTGATTACTGATTCTGAAAAAATGCTGGTACTGAAGTTCACATAGGCAAATTGAAAGATAAATGTAGGAATTTGTGACTTTGAATAAGTAGTGTTGGGGACAAAAACTGATCATGGGGCCAGAACATCTGTGCCACATCTAGCTCTGATTAAAACCAATAAAGTATCCATGACCATGCGGCCAGGGCCAGTCTGGGGGGTACACTCGTTGAGTCAAGACCTCTGTATCTCCACATGCTACATTTTTTTTTTAGATAATTTCCAACATGTAATCACAAGACGTGGTGACGGCACACTCAAGTTTTTCAAACTTATATTAATGCCGCCACCAACACGGGACAATACAATGCTCATTTTCACCTGAGCAAAGTGAGGAAAGTCGTGCAAAGTGCCTTTCCCAAGGGCACAAGGTCGGTGGCATGTCAGGACTCAAACCCGGGACCTCTAGGTTCCAAGTTGAGCACTCTGCCGCTACGCCACACGACCCCTACGCTACATTTGGTAGACCTTAAAGTCTACAGATTGCATAACTTTACAGAACATTTCTGATCAGTGAATATCCACATTGCTACCTCAAGATGACAGACTTACTTGAAGTCTTGACAAGTGCATCTGAATGCTCCCAAGGAGCGGGCGTCCAGGCGGAGAAAGATCTGTGCTAAGGCACGAGCTGGGAGCAGCTTGAAATACTCCACAGCCTCCAAAGGCTGGGGGCATTCCGTTTTCTTCAACAGCTCCTCAATTTCTTTACATAGCTTTTCATCCTGTGCCCTCTGTCCACTGTTCACACCATCCTTCCCTGTGTAAAAATGAGTGCTTGGAGTGTGTTAATTAGGCCATAAGATTTCCAAAAGACAACACTGACAAGGTAGGAAAAAGCTAAAACGCTAAAGCACTGCTGGATAAAGAGGAAAATTTTCTTCACATCTTCTACTATTCGCTTCCATATGGGGTTCATTGTGTCAATTCAAAATGCCTGGTTAACTACTTACATTTCTTCTTGTATCTTTTCGGCCTTGACTTCCCCACTTTTTGTGCCTCTGCCGCCTGACTGTTGTTGTCTGGCTTGGTCATGAGGATGGGGAATTCATCGTCATAACCATGAACGCCTTTGCAGATGGTGTTGAAAGGTTTGGCGACAAGCGCCTGGACTTTCTCCATGCTCAGTTCGGCCGGCGACGTTGCCTGTTCCAGGGGCCGTCTGACCAGTGGAGGGGAGCTGTTGGGGCTCACGAGGGGTTTACGAGTTCTGGAGCCGGGAGGAAAGTCTGGGGTCCACACGGGAGGTTTGACGAACTTGGTAGGTCTGAAGACAGGCAGCCTTAGCTCTTCGTCCCTTCTCTTCCTTCTCTCAGCGTCAACTCTTTCTATCACCTCATAATCATGATATAAAACACGTTATGCCAGTAAAAACACTTACCGTCTATTGAAACCAAAAACCAATGCCATGAAAAAGACCTTCATGTAAAGGTCCATCTCAATATGGAATGACCTGCCTTATGGTGTTTGATCGGTGAATAAGTGTAAGTTTTGGGATGAGCTTCGTGTGTATATAAATCAATAAGTCAATCAGTTTAAGCAGACATAGAATATGAATATTACCCGTAATGATTTGTATGTAATTTGTATGTTTGTATGTCCTAATGTCCAGGAAGATTAGCTGCTTACAAAATTAATGTCAGCTAACGGACATAATGAAGTATCCAAGTACCTCTCTTGCCCTGCAGGAGAAGTGATGGTACAGGTCTGACTGGAAGTACTGTTTGAGAGGTTGGTTCTGTGCAGCCTGGGTGGACTGTAATGTTTTAGGGGTGTGGAGGAGCAGGGTGCCGTGAGGTCGGAGGTCAGTGGGAGAGACCATTGCTGAGGTGCTGGAGGAGGGCACAGGCTGGTCTTCACTGTCCAATGTCTGCTCCATCTGGCAGTGTTCACAAAAAATACAGTACATGTCGTACACTGTCGTACACAAGTGCCCACTGACCCTTGGTATCCAGAAAATCATCATTGATCACACAAGGTACTAACGAGATCCATGAAATAAAACAATTATGTACAATACAACAATTATGATTCACTACATGCAGCAAGAAAGGTCAGGGGTCATTCATCTGAATATCTAAATATCATTTTACTATTGCCAACTTGAAAACTAAAGTAAAGACACATATTTTGTTGTATGGTATATACTGAGTTCTTTGCTACAACATCTAAATGAATCTTATCAGTCGACGTTTACCAAGGATGGTAGCCGACATGTTGTTTTGTAGCCAAGATCCCAGTATAGCAGTTAACTGTTAAATTTGTTCATACATGTTTCAAAAAGAGAGAAGAGATCCTGTAGTTAGATCCTGTAGATAGAGAAATAGCACACGAATGTAACAATTGCTTCTTCTATTCTTGCTACCAAGTTATTTAACTTAAGTGTATCTGGCCCGTGTAGGGCGTGAACATGCAATAAAGTTCATTGTCATTGATTTATTTACCAACCTGATGAAAGTATTTACGGAAATCCACGTATTACCGGTATCTGAGATTACTGTTTTGTCTTCATTTCAATGGAAGGGACTGATCTAACGTTAGGTTCTTGGAACCGTAGCCCTGTCCTTGGTGCTGAACGCTAATCTCTATTCGCCCTGTCCTTAGTGCTGAACTACGTTCAAGGTGATTCCTAACTGACAGACGTTTTTGTAACGTTTGCTCCCTTATCTGGTGTTCCAAGCGTTACATAAAATCACACGAATGTTGACAAACCTTATATTGGCGCTGGACGTCCTTGGAATATGGACTGACGGAACTTTGACGTCAAAACTCGTTTGAAATGCGTGGTTGTTTGACTTGCCCTTTCTGAGGTCTACGTCACATATCAACAAAAGATTCTAAAAAGTAGTGCGCGGCGTAAGATGTTAACAGGCTCCATATTAAGCATATTGACTTCATGTCAAAGATTACGCATATTTTTTTATAATCAGTCATCCTTTTTTGGTTACATTGTCGTGCGAAATACTTAAAATATCCTCAAAATATAGACAATACAGCCCCCTATATTCTGGCCTTGATGGACTATTCCATCATACTGACCAATCAGAGAGGACCACTATGCCCGACCAATACTGTAGCACTCCGCCGTGATACGGCCGTCAGTGTAAACATCATGGTAGACCACTAGCCGCTAGCTTGCACTGAATGTACTCTTTTAAAACCATAATATTGACTATCTACAAGCCTTAGATCAATTTAAAAATTTCACTATTGGTTTATGTGTAGTAAAACGTAAATAATATATTCTAGTAGGACCATATTGGACAAAAATAAATCAACAATCTTGCTCAAACTGCTTTGTGCCTGTCGTGGTTACTCGGAGCCGCAGCACTCACTGCCTCGTCACCAGCCGGCCTCCGCCGTTCAGGAAGTAATGAGTTACAGATGAGAATGCAGTAATTTATATATGCTCAATTCCGACAGCTACGGAGGTTTGCGAGTGCTGTCCAGTTCGGGACCAACAGCCAAGATGGTCCGGACGGCGATTTTACTGTTTGTAGGAGTCTGTGTCTTGCTTTTTGTGCGTGGGGGCAGCGGCGATTGGACCGAAGAAAAGGTAAGACAACTTCTTACGTTCGTAAGTCATCATAGTACTAAGCTGTTGGTATAGTTAGGTATAACGTTAGGTAGTGGCTGTGAAATGTGTACCATATGGGAGCTCAAAGAGACCCAATTTCTTTCACATGTTGTTTTGGAAAAGTTGAGGCGTTGACACACTTCGGATTTGACCTCAGAACATGAATGGTTGGTTCCATCAAAGAAAGGGCATAGTCATGGCGGGCACACACTGAGCTCATAAAGTCTCAGCAAAATATCAATGTCAAAAACATTCCAACCAAGTTTGTCTCCAAGAGAGTCAGGGAACATGAAATTGTCTGGGTGTCTGATTTGACAATCTGATTTAACTCAAGACTATGCATTTAGTTGCAGAATATATGATAACGTGAGTTTGAATTGAAATTGCAATGTTTAACGTTAATTACTAAAGGTTCAAGCAGATACAAGTAACAAGGCCAGGAGGATGAACTTGACTCTTTGGCCAGATAATTGCATCATCTGTACTGTTAAATGTAGCAGTAAATTATATGTAAAGGTCCATTTTTACACTAATTATGCTAATATTTTATTAATTGGTAGCTAATTGTCACATGAGGGCATGCAGAGGAGGACAACATTCCTAGATCATAGATGCCCTTTTTCATAAGGTGTAATAAGACCTTTTTAGTCTTCGTAATCCGTAGGCTGCCTCCAAAAAAAATCAATGTAATTCGTAATACTAATAGTTAACAATGAAAAAAAAATTATGCTGCAAAAAGTAAAGTCATAATCAGCTGTGAGACTTTAACGTGATTCCAAATGTATGATTCGCCCCCCCCCCCCCAATGCATGCCCTCCTAGCTAATTTTTGGACAGGAAGAATCAACCATCATCATCATTAATACCAACAAATGTAATTATATGTTCATTTCATGGCAAGGCAAATTGTTCTTATCAACAAAAATAACGATGCCTGATGAGCCTACAGGAATACTGCTATATAGCCTTAGCCTATCGCTTTTGAAGCAGTTTAATCTCTTTTTCTTAGCAGCCTTCCTACACAAAATCTTTTCATCCCTGTAGTACATATACTGATGATATAGCTTCATGGGGGTAAAATTAAAACCCTATATATGCTTTCTCTCGTACAATAATAAGGAAAGTAGTTTAGTCTTCTCAAACTGGATGGATTTTTAATCAGTAGACATTTCAGGTGTACATCCGACACCTTTCATCAGTACTACTGAATCTTTACAGAGGAGTTTTCCTCTTATACAGTTTGTGTTAGGAATGACTTGCTAGGATTGCGCATAGAGCTGTGTACCTAAACAAATTTTAGGTACAGGTACAGGTACAGGTACACAGGTTTAGGTACAGGTCCGGACCTGAACCTGTACCTGAACAATTCGACCAATTTATATGCTCTTCTGAACTCCTTCAATAACAAAAAAAAACATAAATAAACTTGATAGTTAAGGTTTATTCTTTGTTTATGGCGAATGCTCAGATAAAATATAGGCTATATATATGTTTTTGTTTTCATGAACACACTGTCCTTACACAGGGACCCATTGTTAACCAGCTATTTACACATTTGAGGTCACAAATAGGCATAAAATTGGTGTGAAATTGTTTAGGTACAGTACCGGTACTGAGGGATTAGGTATTTTGGACCTGTACCTAATCAATTTTACCGGTACAGTATCGGTACTGCGTACCGGTACACAGCTCTAATTGCGCATAATAAAAGTCTCATGTATCAATCACTGATCCGCAGTAAAAGGGCACACGCACTCACCGCCGTCAAATCAGCCACAGCAAACCTTCTGGGAAATTTACCAGACCCATTAGTGACTGGAACATACAGCGTCAGTTGCGTCATTCGCCCACACGCTAGCTTTTAGTTGCGCACACTTTAACGTTAAATGTCTACGTATTAGTCACTTTTTAATCTACAGACTTGGAATGTCAATCAGTATAGGACTACGACTCTGTTTTGACGCATCAGACTTTTATGTTTACTGTATGTTGTCTACTCTTGTCTTACTGTATGTAACAATGTCCTGTGTAATTTTGCTGGACCCCCTTGGAAAACAGCTAATTTAAGCTGAATGGGGCTACCCAGCCGATGAAATAAATAAATAAATAAATCTTACCAAAGTACGCAAATTGTCCAGGTGACATTTTCAAGACATAAGAAAAAACTTGTACAGTACTTCAACCTTCTTCCTGCTCCCTATCCCCATAACTAATACAAATTTGGTGCCAACTGGCTATCTTAGAATGCCAAAGGTAAATGACTCACTACAAAGTGGAACCTTCTGCTGAGAGTACTTATACAATGGTACATCCATTGGCCGCAAAGTGTGCTTTTAAAGTAGCATCTCCAACCTGTCTGACCCTTAAAGTTGCTGTTCACTTCAGGGGTGGTTTTAGAGATTGAGACCAGACGTTGTCTGGGGCTATGGTATGTGGGGGTTATGTACAGTTCTCAATGGGTTATTGTACAATGGTTATGGGATGACATCCATGATAATATGCCATGATACCTGGTAGTTGTGGTAAATTGTGAAAGAAAAGAAGTCATCTTAACTGATAAATTATCATACATCAAATCAAGGAGGTTGTATTTAACCTCCTTGATCAAATCAGAAAAAACTTTACACAGAAGAAAAATGATGCCAGACATTTAAAAGTCTCTCTTTATCAGGATATCTAAATACTGGAAGTTTTCCAGTCAATGCTACTTGCCAAGGCGAAATGGCTGTCTAGATGTACATGTATATCCTGGGAAAGGCTCACAATGTTGGTTTAACAGAAGAAACAAAGCTGTTGTGTAATTACAACGAAGGGTGGTTATGCGAGGTACAAGTAGTATACAGATACAGATACAGATTTATTTATGTACATGCATGTATAATGATTTACCACACAGTGGATGGTATGGTGGAACAGGTGTTCACAGGAACACCTTTTCAACTTAGGCCAATTCATAAAACACTAAACACAGATTGGCTTATTCTAAGTAACCTAACTCCAGTGTGAGGCCTAAAAGGATAGTCCATTATCAGGGCACTGATAGATAGATGTGAGCACTACCTACTAGGCTGGCATGAATGGACACTGTGTTCTTGTTAGGTAAGTATATCAAAGAATGTTTAGACCTTAGAACTAGAAGTATAACTATAAGCACATAACAAATATAAATAATTGTCGTGAAGTCAGACATCTTAAAAGTAGACTGGGGAAGTGCGCACTTTGTGCATCTTATGCCATATACTGCGCTAGAAACACACAGGGTTGGGAAAGTACCTCAGGGCTGTTCTCTTGTAAAAGATAAATTTGATGCAACAGGCTTGATTCTTTTCTTTTAATCTTTAAGATCTATAAAACATTTTTTGTAAGTATACGTATAAATGAAATGTATGTGTAGAAAACAATTTTAATCGAAAAGTTTAATGTCCGATGCACACAGTTACTTGTTACATTTTACTTACCTTGCGCCCTCCTCTTAATTATAATGAGATAAAGGGCTGGCCTAGGTGTACTTCAACAAGTCATCTTGTATATATTTGTATATTGAAATAAAGATGATTTTAACCCCCCTAAATATAACAAATATAACAAATATAACACATCAAACTCAATATAAACTTTCACTAATCTAAACACGGATAGTGAGTGAGTGAGTGATTGATTTGTTTATATTCCTGAACATAGGTTAGTTCATTTGTGTCCACTTGTTTCTGTATTTTAATCGCAATCTCAATGGTGATATGGGTACTGTACATGTAATACCCCCAGATTACCCCAACTGGGGCAAAGTGGGGGAGGGGGGTGTCCCCGGGTTTCGGGCAAGAAAGTCTCAACTGTGGGAGACGATATACGACCTTGGTTGTAGTAGACCCTACGAATTCGGAAAGTTGCTGTACTTTTGTTGTGTCAATGAAGATGATTATTTTTGTTTTCCAGAGAAGTCACCAGCCCAAAAAGCTGACGACCAGATCCAGTGATCTGGAGAAACTGGTGAAGAATGTAGCCAACATCGACTCCATGTGGAAGGACGTCCTCAGGCCCATGCTGAGGGAGAGGGTACCAGGGACACCGGGAAACCAGTTTGTCAGACAGGTGAACACAGATGTTTAACATGTCGGTTACGGTTAGACATCCAGGTAATAAGATACATTACATGTACACCGAAAAAACAGCTACTCAAGCAGCTGGATATGATTTTGGAAATGGTTAAACATTATTATTGGAGAGTGTGACAAAAGGAAAAAAAAAGTGGATGCTACCGAAAATGTCTGACCCTTTCCAAAATCTTAACCAGTTGCTGTTGTTTTTTTGTGTATAGATGTTTAAAGTTCATGTTTTGGTATAACAATGGACAAACACCCTCACAGGTGTACGACCAAACCTGACATTTAAGAAAGTGCTAGAGGATGAAGTTGATCTGATTGACTGTGGCCTGTCAACCGTCATGCTGGACAGAGACGTCTAGACAGAGACGGGCATGCTCCCACGGAAAATTGTGAAAAATGAACCTTCTAAAATGGCATTTACTGCGTTTTTGAGAGGATTTCAGAGAAAAAAAAATCAGAGATAACTTTTTATTCAATGACGAAGTAGGTAGTTTTTATACGATTCCAGGCCCACTGATGATACAAATCAGTCCATCTAAAGAGAAATCTTGAACCTTTAGATAAAAAGTGGACCAAAAAGTGGACCTTTGAGCCTTGTGGGGGGTTCTTCCGGCTACGGACAAGCAGTCTGTTATTAACTTGGCACTATCTCATGTTGACAGCACATCATCAGCCAGCTGCGGAGTCTGCAGGCAGGCTGGGAGGTGGAGGAGGACCAGTTCACTGACACCACTCCGGAAGGGGACGTGGAGTTTGTCAACATCATTGCCACACTGAACCCACAGGTACAGCAAACAAACTGATAAAATATAGTAAAAGGTTGAACTTTATTCCAACACACAACTGTACACACAATTGTACAGTATAAACTCCCTGGCACTTTTGATCGATTGCTTACGTCACGTACAGTATCAGTAAAATCTCGTGTGAATAAGGTCACGTGTTTGTAAACCGTAATTCTCGCGAGATCACGTTGTGAAGTGATTGGTCATTAATTATGTTGATGAAGGCGACAGTGGTCGCTGAAAATTTGATCCCTGTACAATTGTGTGTTGGAATAAAGTTTAACGTTTTACTATGATTACTACCAACACAGATGAACTTTCATGATAATCTCTATCAGTATATATGTGCCCCAGACAACTGGCTTCTGCTGAAACTGTTGTTTTGCCTATACTTGAAGCAAGTGGATGCAATGGAAAGTTATAATGCTTAGAAACTCTCTCGATGTTTTCCCAAAACAACTGCCTTCTGCTGTTCAAAGCTATTGTTTTGCCTATACTTGTAGCTACATGTAGCTAGAACTGGAGACATTTCTGTACTATGTTGGAACATTCATTGGCCTTTTTGATAGTGAACTGTAGAGAAAAGGTCATATCTGTTGTAGATATTCTTGACATGATTGTACTACTAGTAGGCTGTCAAGATGCAAAATGTACAAATACAAATTCTGCATTAAAATGAGAAGATATCCTACTCCTAGTTTCCAAAGCTGGGTTACTTAATATTTATGTGGGTTACTCACTCACTCACTCACTCACTCACTCACTCACTCACTCACTCACTCACTCACTCACTCACTCACTCACTCACTCACTCACTCACTCTATCCAGGGCTAGATTATACTGCTGCTGTTGTCCCTGCCACTCTTATATGTCATTTTGTAATTGTGCTGTCAATTTTTTTCCATGAAAGTCCTTTTATCACTTCTCCAGGCCAAGAGGCACCTGACCCTGGCCTGCCACTACGACTCCAAGATGCTGAAGGGCTTCATCGGAGCCACGGACTCGGCAGTTCCCTGTGCCTTGATGCTGAACATCGCCAGAAATCTGGACAGTCAGCTGGGCACTATGAAAAACAAGGTGAGTATGTTCGGATGAAAGCTCATCTGTGCTGGAAGAATCTGTACAGTCATATAGTTGTAAAGTTCAAGCTGATGAAAGTTCATTGACAAGCTTTGTCCCAACACAAGAAAGTAACTCACCATAAATTTTTGGTCGATCTCGTCTACCTTCGTCAGTCCGAAGCGTGATGACGTCTTGCCGCCACTTTTGATGCACTCCTGACGTCATCACGCTTCTGACTTCCGGAGAGTCAGCGAGTGCATCACACATCTGATGAAGGTTGATGAGATCGACCAAAAATTTATGGTGAGTTCCCTTTTGTGTTAGAACAAAGCTTGAATTTTACAACAAGGTGAGTATGTGTAATGTGGATGTCGATACAACAGTAATGTTTTTGATCTTACCGCCAATGTGCTGTCAACTGTACTTCTAAACATTGATGACCACAGGTAACCCAAAAAGATGCATGGTGATTCTTCTCCAAGAAAAGGCCATTTTTGCTTTTGCTTACCCTTAAGAGACTTAATTTATAGTATTTCAGTTTGCAAAAACATGGCGTGCACATCATTTTTCTGGACAGGATTTTGCATTTTCTAAGATACCAGACTAAGTGTCCAATGCATGGCATATGCAAAGTAACTGTTGTTTTTTTATGTTAAATATTAATTTGTGTATGCTTGACTACTGTATCTGGATTGCAATGAACTGTATATAAGCATATGGAACATTTTGCTATTAGAATTGTTGTTGGACTGAAGGTTGGAGACACCATCTGCAAGAGTGACTGAGGAACTCCACAGTCATACCATATCTCGTGATCACCTCACTACATAGAAGTCACCAGTCATACCAAAACTAATATAATTACATGTAATACTCAGAGCATGTCTTATACATTTGCGCAACTCTCTCATAAGGTTAACGTATCAGCTGGACAGTATAAATATTCCTATGATTACTGGCCGAGGCAAAAACACAATCATTTCACAGGATATAACTACGTACATGTACACAGTATGGATGAGATCATTATGTGTCACCATTGCCGGATAAGCTTGGCACCGTCTATGCTTAGGTCAGACGGTTTAAGCAACATGTCACAAACTTTAAAGTACTTAAAAGTTCCGTACCTATAACCTACTACCAGTAATGCGACCATTTACATGTCAAGTAACCAGTGCAAATTTGCCCATGAGTCCATTGAATGAGTGATGCGTGCATGATTGTATACATTCTGTATAAGTACGCATCCTCTGAGTTTTCTTTCATTTCTACTTCCTCCCTTCTTTCATCCATGGTCTGTTGGTAGGCATACCGTCTGTCTTGACTAATTCTCTGTGGGAACCTCTGATGTACCTAATTACCACTGGAAGGTGTGATCTGAAAGTTCTATTTGTACCCGGGGTTCGGTGTAAAATATTTATGAGCCAAATCATCAGTTAGAGCAGAAAAATCTGACGGTCCTCTTAAGGGGCATTTAGAAGGAAATTCTCTTTGGTGCACCCCCAACAAGCCAAATTTAGTGATCATTACTGTAGCTACACAATTCAACATATAAATTCTTAGGTCCACAACCATATATTTTACTGTGTGCACGTTTGGAGGACCTCTCTCCCATGTTCATCAGGGCAAATCTGTGAGACATCATGAGTGGTCATGCCAAATGATTACGTACAGTTTGCCCTGATGAATATGACATAGAGGTTGTCGAAACATTTAGCACATTGAAATTTTAGGCTTTGGTACTACGTTGTAAGAAACTATATGTTGAATTGACTTACCAAATTGATGAAACTATTTACGGATACAATATCAAAGTTCTTAATTATATATTTCACAACCACTTGTTTAACGAGTCAATGTTTCGATGACCGTTTGTCATCTTCATCAGGGCTAGTATGCCTGATGAGGATGACAGACGGACCTTAATTGAAATGTCAGCTCTTGTTTAACTCGTGGTTGTGAATGAAGAATTTGCTATTCTATCCTTCACCAACCTGAAGAAATTACAGATACTTATGGATACAGTAGCTGCAATCAACGATGTCCTCTTCCCTCTTACGTCCCCCCTTCCTGTACCCTTGTATGCATGAATGTTGCCATTGTAGCAACAGTACCTTCAGGAGTGGTGGCAGCGATTCCAGGTGTGGGCTCGGTGGGAACGGCTGACTGCTGAGATTTGGGAGGGGGCTAGACAGTACGCTCACCAGGTGACTGGAACTAGCACGCACTGCAAGTCTTAGACATTCTGCTGACAACATGGGCACACTTTCTTAACCTCACTGCTCAGCTTCTAGAACCAACAGCTTTTGCTCTTCTTTTTCACTTCTTATAATTTTCTGCTTCACTCCTAGTTTTTGGTTTGAATGGCTTTGCTCAAATGTCTTTTTTTTTTTTACTGTGTTAGGGCTTACGTCATGGGTCAATTTGCACTTGCTAGTATAATAGAACATTTTTAGAATTGCACTGGACATCCAACCAAAACATTTATTGTTGGAAATGGAAAGTGTGGAGGACTTTTGAAAATTTTTAAAAGTTTTACTAGTAGTAGTGAGTACATGTACATGGAAAAGTAGGACAAATTTTGAACCTGCAACATTTTTTTCTTGTGACTTGGCCATCATTCAATTTTAAAATGGTAAGACTAATATAACTTTTTAAAAGTAATAATATTGTTGTCATCACCCAAAGTCCTGCATTATGGTTCTTCCATGTTGACCAGTAGAAGGTGTGCCCTGTTGTTTACTGAATGGTAGTTACATAATGTTACTGTTAGATAACATCTTTGCATTAATTTCATCATAGCGTGACAGCAACACTTGCTTAAAGGGAGATGGAACATGTGAGGTGGGTGGACATCAGCAAATGTCACGTGGTAATTGGTGGCAGCTAAATATATTTTGGTGCTTGTAAGGGCTGTAAGGTGGTTAAAAACAATCATTTGTGAAAATACAATCATGTAGTGGTTTTCTAGCTTTACCGTGAGACCAAAATTATTGGTTTCAGTGATCTATTCAAAAGTGTGGTGTATGTACATGTACATGTGCGGTCTATATTGGTACATGTACCTTAGCACTAGTAATTGGGTGGTTTTATGGGTCTAGTTGTACCAAAACTGCTACAATGTTTACAATGGTATGCCAAAAAAAAAAACAGTTACTCAAGAACTGGATATGGTTTTGGAAACGGTCAGACGTTTCAGGTAGCATCCACCACCTTTCGTCAGTGACAGTTTACAATGGTACTTTGCTACACTGTCACATACCTACATGTAAGGTTACTTTTTAGTATCCAGATATGTGTGCCAAATATACATGTAGGCCTGCAGGCTGTAGCAAGCAGACAGGTAGTTATCAGATATATTGTACAAAGTTTATTTGTACACCTGTTAGTTCCCATTCTGCCGGAGGTACCTTGTTTGTGGTGTTACCAGTTAAAGGTTACTATTATAGATCTTCCTACCTAGCAGGATCTGGTGATATTGATTGTCTAATATAGTAAGGCCACACCAATTTAATTTCTTGGTTAACGGATTCGCCGCTTCATTTTTTTCTGATTTGCAAATAAAAATAAAAATTCAGAATCAACTGCAAAATGCTCATATTTTTCCCTGAACAGTTGAAAACAGTCCTTTTCTTACTACTTGTTACAGTCATTCCATCTTTCAATGCAATGGTATCATTAAAAGTTCAAAATTCATTGCTTAAATTTTGAACCTGCCTGGTGTGTTGACTTCATAGCTCCTATCTTACCATTTTGGGCCATAATAGGATGTCTAGGCCTGTTTTTATTTTTATTTTTTTTCTCGCCCGTCCGCTCCATTATTTTCCTAGAAAAATCCGTTAACCAAGAAATTAAATTGGTGTGGCCTAAATGTCTAATGATAACTCCATATTTTTGTTGACTCCTCACTGTGCTAATAGAATTAACTTGAGGATATACTAGTATTTAGCTCATACATACATGTAAATCACATGAAGATAGACCTTGTCTAATACAGTAAATGACTAATGATAATTTTGTACTTTTCAAATCCTGTGCTGATATTATAGAATAATCAACTTGAGTCTGTATTTAGCCCATACACACATACATCACACCAAGAAAGAAGGATAGACCTTGAGCTGACTACAGATGCCGATTGCTTTTATTCAAGTTTCACAGAGCAACAGATTGGAACTGATAACTAGCATGATCGCGACGACGACAACCTAAATAAATGCTAACAGTGAACATTTCTCTCTCCCAGATACAAACTCATCTATTTGCTTGTATTTTGCAGCTGTAGTTTTAAAAGAAAGTAATCTTTTTTCGTCATTGTTATTTTCACTGACCAAAAAAATTTCTTCACACTTAAGAATAACTACTTTACTGTGTTGGTAGTTACATGTTTAAAGTTAAAACTTTTGGTCCAACACAAAGAAAGTTCTCTCACCTAGAGCTTTCAACCAATCACTCTGGTCTTCCTCAGTCAGTAGACTGACCCAGTGAGGCTTGTCACGTGGCCTATTCGAAGATGTCAACACTGGGTCAAAGGTATCTGGTAGAAGATGTACTTGTTTAAATGTAGCAGTGTGTTTGATATATTAAGTCTTGATACCGGTAACACAGTTTGTTCTTGAAGTATACTAATAAGTTTCACATGCGTAGTTTACGTAGAATTCTAAATATTAAATGGAATGACTATGTAACCAATGTAGACGTCCTCACACGTGCTAGTATCCCTAGTATGTACACACTGCTGAAACAGCGCCGACTCCGCTGGCTTGGACATGTGTGCCGCATGCCTGGTGGGAGAATCCCAAAGGACTTGTTGTATAGTGAACTGGCCAATGGGACAAGAGCACGCGGCCGGCCGCACCTGCGTTTTAAGGATGTAGTTAAGCGGGACATGAAAGACATGGACATCATGAGGTATTAACACATGGGAGACACTTAGGCAACAAACAGAACACTCTGGAGATAGGTAGTTAAGAAGGGATTACAACGGGGGGAAGAAAAACAGAGACTCCAATCAGAACACAGACGCTTTAAGCGTAAAGCAAAAAAATAAGTACATGATGTAGAAGATGATTCTTCTTCATGGTCCTACGAGACCAATGAAATGCCTACTATACTAATAAGTTAATGTTGTCATGCAGGAGCCCGACTTGACTCTTCAGTTGATCTTCTTCGATGGAGAGGAGGCTTTCCACCAGTGGACGAGTACCGACTCCATCTACGGAGCCCGGCACCTGGCACGGCAGCTGGCAGAAACTCCGCATAAACTGGACTCCAGCCACAAGATGCTGGACAGCATGGTGGGTCTGCATCAGTGGCTTTAGGAACATTGCACTCATCTTGGTAGAAAAGAAGGGTGGAGAAATTAATTATTTGGCTGTCTTTAAGCTGCAAAGTTGATTTCAATATTAAGGAATAATACCAAATTGAATGTGTTTATGAAACAAGTTTGAACTGTAATTTCATAAAAACAAATTGGACGCTTGTTCAACTCAAGCCTTTGTCAAGAAATAAGCAATTCACTCCTTCTGTGACTATGTCATAATGACTTCTACCAACACGGATGAACTTTCTAGTTAATACCAAATGTTTTCTTTGTTGTCTGCAGGATGTGATGGTTTTGCTGGACCTACTGGGTGCTAAGAACCCCACCTTCCCCAACTTTCAGTTCCGCGGTTCGGCTGAGAAATGGTACAACAGGCTCAGGGATATCGGTAGGTCAGCCTGAAGTGACCATAATATGGTAAAGTTTGCCTTTATGAAGATGTAGGGGCTGTGGGTTGTTGATCCACTGTGTCTAGGTCTGGGTATTGGAAAGCGGAGCCCATCCCTCTCCTTCCACTGCAGGACTCGAAATACTAGGTGCATGTGCACCTTAGTTGATTCTTGTACTACTTGATTCTGTGACATAGAGATGATACAGGGCAATCACTGCATGTTTCACAACAATGTCATAATCAGTGTGTTATGTTTCTCATCTTTATTTTTGCAGAGAAAACCCTGCACGGAAAGAAGCTCCTGGACGAACACTACTCCTCCAACCAGTACTTCACAGGACACCAGTATAACGGCAGGATCGAGGACGACCACATTCCCTTCTTAGACAGAGGTTAGAGGCTCTTTGTTTTTAGTTTACATTCCTATATATATATATATATGAAAGAATGTATAACCCCGCCCTCAACAGGGAAGGGGGGGGTACGGGTAGATCTCTCAGGCACTTGACTCTTGGCGCTCCCAGCCCCGAGGACAAACAACACTTCTGAAACAACAGGAGCTATTTGACTTGTCTAACTTTTGTTTCCTTTTTGACTTTCATTGAGTTTGAAAAACAAATTGTCTTGACTGATTTGCATGTAAATCAATAGTTCGTGCTTATAAACCTGCTTTTCTGACAACTCTCCAGTGTCACTGACAAAAGGTAGTGGATGCTACCTGAAATGTCTGACCGTTTCCAAAATCATATCCAATTGCTTGAGTAACTGCTTTTGGCGAGTGTACAATTCTTGTTTACCTGAGCCTGCTGCCACCTCACTTGCGTTTGTTATGTCTGTCCTATATTCTGTGATATATGGTTAAATCCATCCAAGGTACTAACTCCATATAAAAATTCACCTGTTGCAGGAGTGAGCATCCTGCACGTGATCTCGGCGCCGTTCCCTCAGCAGTGGCACCGCACGACAGACGACGAGGCCCACCTGGACCGGACCACTGTCGCAAACCTCAACAAGATCCTGACGGTCTTCGTGCACGAGTACCTGCACCTCACCGGCGCCAGCAGGAAATGACTAAAGGCAGACCTGTAGACAAACTTTAATCTCCAAGCAGGTGTTTTGGTAGCTGAAAAGTACCAAATGATCACGAAAGTTCATCTGTGTTGGTAGTTATAGTAAAATGTTGAACTTTTAACATTTCAACACACGCATTACACGGAGGTCAAGTCTTCAGCGACCACTGTCGCCTTCATCAGGATGATTATGGTCTTGTATTGGTCATTAATTATCCTGATGAAGGCGACAGTGGTCACTAAAAATTTGATCTCTGTATAATTTGTATGTTGGAATAAAGTTCAACATTTTACTATAATACAGCAGTATCAAATTTGCCAGGCAGTATCCATAAGCCAGACAGTATCTGTTGGCCACTGGACTCTCCTCTGGCCAATGGATACTGCCTTGCCACCGTATGATTTGATTGGAGATTAGACAAACTTAACCGTCCCCCTGTTGCCGCCAAACCCCATACTAGTAACCAGTCCAGATCTGGTGCCAAACAGCTACCTTAGCGTACCTAAACCTCACCCTGCCAGGGCCTTTCTTTCTTTATTCAAGTTGCACAACAAGTGTAAACTGGTCATGCACAAGGGAACTGTTACTCAAGCAACAGTTACTGGATAGATTTTGAAATAAATAAGGGAGGACTTCCACCACCTAAACCTTCATAACATCAACCCACAGGATAGAGGCAAATGGCGAGCTGCCATCAAGCCTCAGCATCAGTGTGCAAGCACGTCTAACCCTCGTGAGTGAGTCAGTCAGTCATTTCAAGTAGCATCCACAAGTTTTTGTCAGTGACTGGACAGTCAGTATGTGTTTCTCCTGTGGGTTGTCTTTCTTTCAGTCTAGTCACAGACAAAAAGTAGTGGGTGCTGCATAAACCGTCTGACAGTTCTCAAAATCTATCCAGTTGCTTGTGAAGTAACTGTTTTCTTGTGTATCTCATTACCTGGATGTGTAACCTTTATCGACGTATTGGTAATGGGTGAGATAGCTGGACAATGTTAACCCTGGCACCAAATTTGTATTGGTTATAGGGTTAGGCAGCAGGGAGAAGGTTAAAGAAATTGTCTACGAACTGGTCACTGAAGGAACCAAGGAGAGAGGGTGAAAGAATTTTAACATATGTCATAATAAAAGCTATTTGACCAAAGTTGTGTTTTGTGAATTGTAATGTGTAGAAGACTCTGTCGGGATTGAAACTGGTTACAGCGTATTTGTAACGGTTCAGTCTCCTGGGGATCTTGTCTTCCAAGTGATCATTGGAACACTATCATCAACACTACACAAGAGAAATGCAAATAACTCTACTGCTGAAGTCTGGTACACTATTGTACACTATTATTGTAGGGTGGAACTCTTTGCCACCAAGGACAGTAGGGGTATTCTAGATCTCATCACTAGATAGCTTTAAACAATGATTCCAGTTAGATGTGAAAAGGTTGGATGTAACTTGTTGTTTGGTGTAATGTAGCCAGCTGCTGCCCCGTGCCTGCAAAGCCGGTGTGTTACACTGAAGGGTGCTTATACGAGCTATAACGTTACAGATACAGAAGCTGGTGTGTTATACCGAAGGGCGGTATACCTGCTACATGTACATACAGATACACAGCTGCTAAAGTTGTATTGGGGACATCCTTGTTCCACCAGTTCCTTGGCTGGAGCACAGGATGTGCCTTTTACACAGCCCAACTGAACCGCTAAAAGTGCAATCCTCAAACTCCTGGTGTTTTAAGAAACCCTTGCCACTGTAAGCTGTATGGCTCAAGAATTACTAGGGCATATAAATTATGTCTTCACTGAAAACATAGCCTGTAGAAACATGGTGATTAAAGTTTAATGTTATGAATTGTGGGTGGATGCCCAAAATGCTACATAACAAACAAAAGTTTTAGCACAGCTACCATCACTGTTTATGTTTTACACCGACCAGCATTGGAGCAAATATAAACTGACTAGGATGGTACCCAAAGTATAATAATCTTACAACTGATTTTGGTGTGAATTCAGGGCTTGTATGCGCATATAGAATTGTATGACCAGAACCAGAAACATTGTTGGGTATAAACCAGAGCTACTCAAGTGTTCTTGTGACAACTTTCTTCAGAGAACCTGTATTTTTGATGTTACAAAGATATTGAAGGTGATTGGGACCGTGCTGTGAAGTTCCTGTCTGCGAACGAGTCTCGTATCCGGGTGGAGTCTATATTTTCAAGAGAAAAGAAGACCTCACAAATTAACATCACCATCAATGGAAGTGCAGTATGATGGTAGCAAAGGATTAAACAAGGTCTACGCATTGAAAAATGTTTGATGTAAGTTCAAGAATTATAGCCGAATTCTGTTTTAAGTTATGGCGATTGTAAATGAAGGCTTGTGTTGTGTTGTGCACCTCGTTTTGTGTGCTAATTTTAATGACATATAATGTATCTTTGTCCTGCAGGACTAGTTCATTCCAGAAAGTAGGGATCGAAAGTTATGTTTCTTAATCAAAGATGGAGATGATTTTATGTTTTATTTCATAAAAACAGGTGTAACCACATACATTACTGCTACAATTAAATATTGTGCAGGTGTAAAATGTACATTAGGCCACACCAATTTAATTTGTTGGTTCTCGGATTTTGCCTCTGCTTTTCTTTCCGAATTGCAAAAAAAAAAAAAGATTCTTGTTCTGAATCAATTAAAAAACGCTCATATTTTGCCCCCAACGGTTGTGGAAAGTCCTTTCCTTCCTAGTTGTTACAGTTTTTTCCATCTGTCAATGCAGTGGTTTGATTAAAAGTTCAAAATTCATTGTTGAAATTTTAGCTCAGCCTTTTGTGTTGACTTAATGGCTCCTATCGAAGCATTTGGGGCTATAATAGGATGCCCTAGCACTTCTTTTTTTTTTTCTGAAAGATCCGAGAACCAAGAAATTAATTTGGAGTGGCCTTATGTTGATATTTTGTTTGTGGGGCAGATCAAAAAGACCAGACTGACAGATATGCAGAACTGGTGAAAGCATTGTCATAGGAAGGGTTTTTGTGTTAATTCTGTGTCACAATAGATGTAACGTTAAGCTTAATTGGATAATAAATCGTTCAAAGTCTCAAATGCCCTTAACGTTTTAAGTGCTTATTTTCGTAGCAGTGTTGGCACTAGACAGATGATCATATTTCAGGATATTGAATTATGAGTTTGGCCCAAAGAAAGCACAATAGAAGATGTGAACAAATTTAACCGCTGGGAACAATGCATGACACTGATATTTGCTTAGTCTCCACCAGACTCGTTTGCAGGCTGAATAAATTATAGTAGAAATTGGCCTAAATCTTAAAAAGATTGTAACTGGCCATGCTAGTTGACCAGCCATAGAGAGTCCAGTCTGTGCAGACAAACTGGGCCCTGGTAACATAATGTAATCCAACACCATCGGCTGTCTTAGAAGCATCAGTTACCATGGTGACAGACGTCTGCTCCAGGTCATTGACCTTTTGTGTTTGGACCGAATAAGAAGAAACAGTGAAAACAAAATGTTTTTCTTCTGCGTAAACAAAATGTAGCCACCATCGCAAGAGGCCACCTCGACCCGGAACGATTTCCCTTGTTGTAATGCGTGGCCTCGGACTGCGGTCAGTCGCCGGTTCAAGGTTCGGTCAATTTACAGCAGAACGAATGAGTTCGCTCGGAATCAAGGATCATCAAGGACTTGGCTGAATAAAACAGTCACCAGCCGCGGAAAAAAACATGCCGGAGACGGAGACAGCGGGAGTCGAGGGGAAATCGGAGCTTGTTTTCTTCGTCAATGGCAGAAAGGTAACGTTAACTTAACGTTAACTCTAGAGAAAAGTTCAAGTTCCGCACTGGGCCGCCCAGTGTTGGACTCGAGAGAAAATGGCGTCACCACTATAAATCCAGATTCTCTGCATTGGTTTAAAGTTTCCAGTGCTGAACGGCCCAGTGCCGAAGCTCCCTCCAAAGCTGAATCTTGTCTCGGGTGCCAGTGCTCAGATTTCTGCGTAACGTAACGTTATATGTGCGGAAGGAAAGTTTAATACTTTCCGACAAGTATAGGCTGGTCCAAAGGTCAGTCAGCACTTAAGTTACCCAATGACGGCTTCCGCATAGCCTCCTTCGCAGTCCTGTTGGGCGTCGGCGTTATTTTTTCTCTGAGCGACGCGAGTAATATGCGGCCGCGAGGGACGATTTGCTGCCGAGGGACTTTTTGCCACGGAGAGAAGGTTTCGCGCTCCAACAAGACTGCTTGCAGTGAAAAGGACCTCGGATTAAGCCAGCCTTCCATAGAGGCTATTAACATGTTCGCGCAGGTCCAATTCACATGTTCGCGCAAGGGTAATTCACAGATACGCGAAACCTTCTCTCCGTGGCAAAAAGTCCCTTGGCAGCAAATCGTCCCTCGCGGCGGCATATTACTCGCGTCGCTCAGAGAAAAATAACGGCGACGCCCAACAAGACTGCGAAGGAGGCTAGCTTCTGCACCGGATTTATTAGCAGTGATGAATAAAGAAAGCCACGTTTACATTAAGTGTGTGTGTGTGTGTGTTTGTTTGTGTGTACGCGCGAGCGTGTGTGTGTGTCTGTGTGTATGTATGTGTGAGCGTGTGTGTGTGTGTGTGTGAGCGTGTATGTGTGTGTGTGTGTGTGTGTGTGTGTGTGTGTGCGCAAGCGTGTGTGTGTGTCTGTATGTGTGTGTGTGTGTGTATGTGTGTGTTTGTGTGCACGCGCGAGCGTGTGTGTGTGTGTGTTTGTGTGAGCGTGTATGCGTGGTGTGTGTGTGTGTGTAGGTGTGTGGTGTGTGTGTGTGCCTGTGCATGCATATGTGTGTGTGTGTGTGTGTGTGTGTGAGCGTGTCTGTGTGTGTGTGAGCGTGTGCGTTATAATGTGTGTGTGTGTGTGTGTGTGTGTGTGTGTGTGTGTGTGTGAGCGTGTGCGTATGTATGTGTGTGCATGTGTGGCAATGAGTCAATTATATAACATTACATATAAGTGTAGCTACCTTTGTCTTTATTTGTGATTTTGATTGTGATTACAACAGATGTAGCCCTTTTGGGGTTTTGCTACGTCGGCCCTGAAAATGACGGTTTGTGTCGGAGCAGTTTCCAATGCTCAGGGTTGGAGTTTTTCAGTCCCAAAGTCAACTCCTCACCACTGTGCTGACATAACCTCCCCGCCGGAGGTCTTGTGCAGAAGGCACGTTCAGCACCATGGACAGCGAGTGCTTTGAAAGAAACCCTGAAGGGTTGCAACTCTCATCAAGTCTAAGATTCGTTCCAATACATTTTTTGTGCACGTCAATGATGACTTGGTGTGCTGTTGGGTGTTGCTTCTTATGGCAACAGGTAAGGAGGGGAATATTCTGTTGGCACAACAAATAAAAGAAAATGTATGAAGGCTTTTCTCTTGACTGTAGGTTGTGGACCAGGATGTTGACCCAGAGATGACCCTATTGACCTACCTCAGGACAAAATGTATCCTTCTGTACTGCACCTTTTTCCAAATTCCAGACAGGTGTCTTACATGCACCCTGTATTCATGATTTTTGAAATACTTTAACTTACATTTCATGCATCATCTATTGGAAATGTAATGGAACCCATGCTCCGAGTACATAGTCATCCTCAATCCACCCATTGCATAAAAGACCTCTTCCTACCAAGTGAATGTACAACGTATGAGAAAATATTTATGATGGTGAATGCCTGGAAGAAATAAATGTTGTTGAGATTCCTTAACAGTTGACCAGTGCGCCTGACAGGAGCGAAGCTGGGCTGCGGGGAGGGAGGCTGTGGAGCCTGTACTGTCATGGTGTCCAGGTACAGCCAGGCACAGGGGAAAGTGCTGTATCCTTTTCATACAGTATCTACATCTGTCTTTTATAACCATGTTTTGGCATAACACAGCGTTTTGGCCCAGTGCGAAATAGATGTAGATGTAGACACCAGCTTCTGTATCTGTATAGCCAGTGTAACCATCCTTTGGCATAACACACCAGCTTCTGCATCTGTCTAGTTGAACATTTGGCATAACACACCAGCTTCTGTATCTGTATCTGTATAGCTAGTATAACCACCCTTGTACGGTACATAGTGTATGTGTACACATTACTGGGTAGCATCATGTACATGTACTAGGGTGGAGGTTTTCAGCAAATGTGTGTGGTCAGAAGTAGGGGGTTTCTTAACCCAGAGACTTGTGAATTAGAGTTGATAAAGGCCTAGGATAAAAGATGTGCATTTTCCTGAGCGTTGCCCTTCAGTCACCTTGCTGTGAATGCCTGTCCTGTTCATATTTGTTCCCTATATACTATAAATAAATTAGAGGTGATATATATTAAAGTAGGATAAAAGATGTGCATTTTCCTGAGCGCTGCCCTGCAGCCACCTTGCCGTGAACGCCTGCCTCGCTCCCATCTGCTCCCTACACGGCGCGGCTGTCACCACAGTGGAGGGGATCGGCAGCACCCGGACCAGACTGCACCCTGCACAGGTCAGGTTCTCACCTTCTCTCCTGTAAAGTTAGTTAGTTAAAGTCCTTCTCTCCTGCAAAGTTAGTTAGTTGAAGTCCTTCTCTCCTGTAAAGTTAGTTAGTTGAAGTCCTTCTCTCCTGTAAAGTTAGTTAGTTAAAGTCCTTCTCTGCTGTAAAGTTAGTTAGTTGAAGTCCTTCTCTCCTGTAAAGTTAGTTAGTTGAAGTCCTTCTCTCCTGTAAAGTTAGTTAGTTAAACTCCTTCTCTCCTGTAAAGTTAGTTAGTTAAAGTCCTTCTCTCCTGTAAAGTTAGTTAGTTGAAGTCCTTCTCTCCTGTAAAGTTAGTTAGTTAAAGTCCTTCTCTGCTGTAAAGTTAGTTAGTTGAAGTCCTTCTCTCCTGTAAAGTTAGTTAGTTAAACTCCTTCTCTCCTGTAAAGTTGGTTAGTTAAAGTCCTCTCCTGTAAAGTTAGTTAGTTAAAGTCCTCTCCTGTAAAGTTAGTTAGTTGAAGTCCTCTCCTGTAAAGTTAGTTAGTTAAAGTCCTTCTCTCCTGTAAAGTTAGTTAGTTGAAGTTCTTCCTGCACCACATGGTGTATAAGGCCGCCGCCAGGACCAGACTGCACCCTGTACAGGTCAGGTTCTTAGCAGTAGATGAATAATACTTAGTCTGGTAGAATCAGTGTAATAACGCTCGTTATTCAACAACCAGTATCCTTTTACACATACAGTATCTGCATCTGTCTTTTATAACCATGTTTTGGCATAACACTGTTTTTGGCCCAGTGCAAAATAGATGTAGATGTAGACACCAGCTTCTGTATCTGTATAGCCAGTGTAACCATCCTTTGGCGTAACACACCAGCTTCTGTATCTGTATAGCCGGTGTAACCGCCCTTCGGCGTAACACACCAGCTTCTGTATCTGTATAGCCAGTGTAACCATCCTTTGGCGTAACACACCAGCTTCTGTATCTGTATAGCCGGTGTAACCGTCCTTTGGCATAACACACCAGCTTCTGTATCTGTCTAGTTGAACATTTGGTACACACCAGCAGCAGCAACACAAATCAGTACCAGTCACTGCCTTGAAGAAGGTGACAGACAGTCACTGAAACGCAGCTGATGTGAAAACCCACTGGTTGGTATACAGTCTCTTGCCAACAAATGGGAATCTTATAGAATCTCTTTTAAAGTTAAACCTACTACATGTACCTGTCATCAATAGCATAATGTAGTCAGCACCATGCTGCTGTCAATTTATGGTGTTATTTGCCTGTAAATTTTAAGGGAAAATCATTACTGGGAAAGATCTAAAAGTCTTTCCCAGTACTGATTTTCCCTATTCTTGTGCCTCCTATATTATAAGTATACACAAAATCTCATTTGAAAGGAAATCTATGGTCAGCCTTATGCAGTTTGTGTTTTATGTGTTTAATTTTGTGCCCCCCCCCCCAGGAGAGGCTAGCAAAGGCTCACGGGTCCCAGTGTGGGTTCTGTAAACAACAGTTTAGTATTGTCAGCCCCAGTCTGATTTGCCTGTAAAGCGTGTGTTTTAAACTGTTGATTTGCCCTACCAGGAGAGGATAACGAAGGCCCACGGGTCCCAGTGTGGGTTCTGTTTTGTTTGTTTTTATTTGTTTACCCAGGGGGTACATATCGCCATAAGGCGTTTTTCAATGTGCCCTGCAGGCATACATAAATAAAATATTCAAGAAAATAACAGATACAACAAAATGATAAGTCAACTTATAAGTACAAATTAAAGTCAACTTAGTACAAATGAAAGTAAAAGTACTATATAATGCCGCAGTGTACCAACAGTGTAGCATAGTACTATATAATGCCGCAATGTACCAACAGTGTAGCATAGTCAGCCTAATGAAGTTTGATTTGCCTGTACAGTTTGTGTCTTAAACTGTTGATTTGCCCCACCAGGAGAGACTAGCGAAGGCCCACGGGTCCCAGTGTGGGTTCTGCACCCCGGGGATCGTCATGTCCATGTACACCTTACTGCGCAACCACCCCTGCCCAGACATGGACCAGTTGGAGGCAGCCTTTCAGGGTAAATAGTGCATAATATCACATCATACACTAACACTCACTCACTATCCGGTTTATCGTGTATGGTTGGACCCGTCTGCCGAGGGTTTAGACGTGCTTGCACTGCAATACTGAGGCTAATATATGATATAAGATATTATGTTATTTCTGATTGTGAAACATGTCTGAAGTTTGCAGAGCATCTTCCAGACTCTTTTGTGTGCTGCATTCTTCCACGGCTTTTTCTTCACCTGAGATCTGTCACTTCTGCTAACTCATAAGGTGTATTCTGCTCAAGAGAACTCTTCCTCTAGACCTGACTTTATGCTTTATACAAGGTCTGATTGTTAGTCTCATTGTGAGTCTTGGTTCAGCACTTTTACCTATTCACTATTTGATACTAATAACGTACCAGATGGATATGAAGTCATGACAAGAGTTTCGAAATTGCAAAGATGCAAAATGTGCAATAAAAGGTTTCCATTTCCTCCAGGTAACCTGTGCAGGTGTACTGGCTACAGACCAATCTTGGAGGGATACAAGACTTTCACCAAGGTACAGATACATCTTGCCTGCTATGTTGTTAAAACTTGTGTGAGTAACATTCAGTACCAGGGACAGCTCTGCGCGTGTGTGTGTGTGTGTGCACGCGTGTGTGTGTGTGTGTATGTGTGTGTGTA